TCACCGTTCGACCCCTTTCGAAGGTCGTAGAGACTCGGGGATGGTACCAATCGATCGGTAATACACAAAATGGTACAGAGAGAGCCTACTTTTCAGTCTCTAGGACCTTCAGAAAAAAAGTTATTCAAGAAGGGCCCATGAGCTTTTTCCCAATTTCACCATTCGACCCCTTCCCAAGGTCCTACAGACTCGTTCGGGAATACTCAAATTAGTGGAGGCTGAGACTTTCAAGTCTCTACAACCTTCAGAACAAAAGTTATTCAAGAAGGGCCCACCTCAGTGTGGTTATCATCCTGTATCCTAACCCTAACCCCTGACCCTAAACCTAACCCCCTAACGCTCACAAAGGAGTGTGCACAAACCTGTGATTCATTCACGCAAACAAATAAATATTTTAAAAAACACAATCACACAGTACCCCAAATGGGTTACTTTAATGAAGACAATAGGGGGTGGACCACTGTATGATACAGGAGGCGACAAGGCTGTCCCCGGGACCAGGGGGCATCATCCTGGGGGACGGACAGAGCACCTCCCGCCACATTTTATAGGAAACAGGCTCAGTTCCCCTACCCTAACCCCCCAGATGTCATAGGGGACATGACATACCCTAACCCTCTCCCATCCTTCATTCTTTAATTTATTGACAAATAATTTTTGAGGTTACATATTTAATCTTTATTTCAAACCTATTACATAAATAGCATGGAGGTGATTTTATCCTTCATAGTTTACATTTTCTTCAATTCAAAACCCACAGACACTTTGATGACCCTGTGTCACCCTACGCACAAAACTAGTTGTTCAACATACAAATATACACACATTACAGTTCATGTTCATGTTGTAATTTAGATTGCATGTAGCTGTAGTAAACAAACTAATAATATTTTCTGACACAGGTCAACAGTCAAATCAGACTAATTCATGCTTAAGATTCAACAACAGGTAACAACATTATTCACTCAAGGTTATTCTCAAATGTTCATTCTGGCTTTTTTACTGACTAAGTCCTTAACTGTAGAAAGCAACACAAAAGCTTTTCTACACAAACATCAAACAGGGTTAAAACAGAGTGAGACACTTTAAGATCAGTTCTTTAAAAGTGTATTCCTCAGTAAACAATGACAGATGAGTCTCAGACTTGCATAAAAAATTCAAGAGATTTTTCTTTTCCTCAACAGTAACCATTTCTTTGGTTCTGACGCGTTTGCTATTTGTACAAACAACAGATGTTAATTATGGACATTATCCATGGACTACTAAATTCTGTTTATACTGTGTACACAACACTATTATTAAATCTGTGATTGGGTTTCAGTACATATAGTTTGAAATAAAGCAGTTAAAGGCTGAAGTGGGTCAGATTTTACAGGCGATTGGATCAACTGGGTGAAGTGAAGAACTTCCTTCCTGTTTCCACCCGACCACTGATGACAGTAAAAAAAACAAAAGACAAAATATAAACTTCAGTCACGGCTGCAGTGACATGACAATCATGTGGATAATTATTTTATTTGTATTCAAATTCACATCACTATAAAAAACATTTTATATAGTTATGTCATATAGTTCTTTTCTCTAGTTAAATTATCATCAGGTGATTATACATTAACATACTGTGATCATAGATTATCAGCAGGACCAGTTTTTCAGAGTGAATCAGTACATGTGTAAACGTTAATCAGTGAAGTTAAAGTTTGATAAACTGGTCACTCAACATCTAGGGTTAGCTCCCTGTTCTCTAATTGGTGGATCTGGTGTGTCGTGCTCTTACGTGGTGGTTAATGAGTTTCTGATCCTTCCTCTCACAGATCCTCTGCTTTGAATTTTATAGTAACTGTTTAACTCTGGAGACGTCAACGGCTGAAACAACGGACCTGAAATAATAACATTATGAATAAAAACATGACAGATGTGTGTTCAATGTTTGCTCGACTATTAGTAAAAGCACAAATCGACTGCAAGACATCAGAGAACCAACATGTGTGGAAATTAAAGAATAAACTGTCAAACATTTTCTTAAATTAAGCCGCAGAAAATGATCATATGGTCGACAGTATTCTCCGGACATATTAAAAAAACAGAAAGGGATGTCACATGACTTCAAAGTGGGTGTGTTTGGACAGTCAAAATCATTTCCCTTCCTAACCACTATTGCTTGACTTTATACTTTACTTACTTATCTTTTTTACTTTACATTTGGATTTATTTCTGACTTCTTGTTCACAGAGAAACAAGAAGTCATGTCACATGATACCTTACTGTGTATTAATGCTGCGTTCCACACAACTCTGATGTCAGAATTTTCCGACCTTCTTGAAAAAGTGCAATGGAGCACCACTCATAGTCAGGATTTCCGACTTGTGAACTTGAGTCGTCAAATCGCTGCAGCTCTTCACTTCCTTTTTGCTCTCTGAGTCCTGATACTAAAGTACACATGTGCGCAGGAGAGTTTTCACGATGGGCGGGGAAGTGAGCTGTCTGCTGTGAGAGGGGTAGAGAAGAGAAATGAAACTCAAAGAGAATTTCATGTTGCTTTAAACATTCACGTCAAAATTTGTACTCAATGGTCACAATACAGTCATTTAATACATCTCACGTGGAACAAGCAGTGAAATATATCAAGGATATTCCATTCATCGCCCACCCCTAATTAGAATGTGTTTCCAAGTACAGTAAGAAGTATGATGGCATCGTTTCCTTCTTTGTTTCTGTATGAACGGAAGCTGCAGTGGTCACAGTGGAATTGTCTAATTATGAGTCAAATAAACATCAGCTTCTCACGGTCAGACATTTTTGTTTAAGTTTGACTTCATCCCATTACCGAGCATTGGAAGTCAGAAATCAGAAATTTCAAGTCAGAATATTCAACATCTGAGTTGTCTGGAAAGCAGAATAACTGAGAAACAGGAAGTGATGTCAGAAACTGTATTTGTCTTTCATTGAAACAGAATAAACTGTGATATGAATATGAAGTGAAGACAAACAAGCTGAACTGTGTTATCCGATGTTTTTATTTCCTCTCCGTCAGTGACGTGTAACATGTTTCAACTCACGGTGTCCATGTTCCTGACTGTGAGTCTTATTGGTGGAGGATGAAGACGACATTTGAGCTGAGTGAACAGCCAGGACACGCCTCCAGTAATCTTCAGGAAGAGACAAGAGTCGACAAATAACCTGTGAGGAATGATGTGCACGATGAATTCACACAGTCATCTACATACACATGTTTATTCAGTCTTTTTCGGGTCAGACAAAGAAATTAGACTGAACGTGTTTGACGTCTACACGTGATTTGCTTTTCGTTCAGGTCAATGAATTTGAGGTGAAGAGTGGTTACGAAGACTCTTACCTTCGGTTGAGTGTTTGTGTCTCTCATGATGGTCGTTGGCGACGGTTCAGACATCCCATGACCAACTATAGTTGGTCCAAACACTCTTGCCAAATTATTCTGATCCATCTGACACTGAGGGCTCTTTGTCACCCTGATAAACAAAGAACAAAAGTGAAATAAAAAAGATTCTAGTAATTTCACTGATACTTCATCACTGTAAATCATTTCCTGACGAATAAAAAGTTCTGTAAAAATCTGGTTCAGTTCAAACTGGTTCTCTGCTCTTTTATTCTCTAATATGAACAATTTGTGTAATAATTATATAATTATCATTTAGTGTTAATGCATAAAGACTTATTACTTTATATTATGATATTCAGACTTGACTTGTGGCATCAAATATTCGTGTTTCCAATGATTTGAAGTGACGCGGTTGTTGCAGGTCAGGCTCAGCTAACACACGTCAAACACATATCTCAAGTAGGTCTCATTTCCCAGAATGCATTGTGAAGTAAAAGCTGTCCAACAGGCTGGTTTCAACGAAACAAAGAAACAAACTGAGAGAAAGATTTTTTTCACTATTTATTAAAAACTGCAGCAGTTTTAAGGTGGAATCTTTTCATGTGTTTTAATCAATAAATGAGTTCACGTTGTGAATCAATCAATAAACCTTTGGATTCCGAATGAAGACTTTGATATGTTTTTACTCTTTTTCCTGCTTCATATATGCTTCAATGAGACAAATATTCAAGAGTATAAAATCTATGAATTTTAAAAAGGAAAAATTATTATTTCAACAATTTGAGATTTTTTCCTCAAACTGCAGCAGCTCGACACCTGTGGTACCTTGTGGGAAATGAAACTGAAAACACGTATCACGTAACAAGAAGAAACTGAAAACTGTTAACTGAAAGATCTTACTTGTGTAAGTGAAGCATGAGAAAAGCCAGAGTGTCTCTGTTGGGTTTGGGTAGTTCTGCTATGGTCTGATAAAAGATGGCTGAGCTGTTGTCTTCATCAGACAGCTCTAAAAACACAGTGATGAAGAAGAGCTGATCTCACATCAGCTGGAAATAAATAATTACTTCTTTTGTGTAGCACTTTTTAATACAAGTAACAAAGTGCTTTAAAACAAACTATGAAACTCTAACAATCATAATGAAAGAGGAACATAAACCTTGTTTTTATTGTTGTGTATTGATTTCATCATTGTCAGAACATTTAGAAATATTCAGTGTTCATACCTGAAGCCTCCATGAAGGTGCGGTGTAGTTTGAACGTCACCAGAGGTTCATTCAGTTTCCTCAGAAAGTCTTTGAGAACTCCACAAACAACATGGACATCATGAATGTTACCGAGCATGAGTGATGTTTTACCCTGCATGAAGCGATCGCTGAGATCCTTCACAACACGACCGCCGCCAGGGACCCGGTACAGACCCCGCTGCCGACAGACAGGTAGAGACATTTACCTATTTATACTGTACAAAAACATGAGTTACATTCATACATTTCATGATCAGTGAAAAACTGGAGAAAGCAGCTGTTGGTCTGTGACAGAGCAGAGAGTGTCTCTGTGTCCCCACATCAGCCTGAAACTCTCCAGGTCATGAGTCGCTCTGTGAAAACTAAAATCAATTAAAAGTCTGTATTTCACAATTTTTACAAACCAGTGAACCACATCAATGTTCAGTTCTTCTACTTTTCTTTTATGGCTTACATACTCCATACTCCACTTTACCTGAGCTGAGAACAAAGTTTAAAGGTTGGCACTTGTGTTTTCTCTGGCGAGTGTAATTAAAATCACAGATAAAAACCTGCTTGGTGAAGAACTCGCCACACAGTAACACACAGATAGAATAGAGGGGCCGGTCCCCGCAGATTCGGTTGTACCCGGCGGCTCTTCACCAGGAGCCTGAGCCGAAATACTTTACCGGCAGCAGCAGCCCACTGCTCCTCCTGATTCCTCTGTGGACAAGATCGGATTAAATGTCCTTCTACACCATAAGCAAAACATTTCATGGTTTCCATCGTAGCGAAAACCACATTGTTGAATACGTCCACTTTTAAATTAAAGGTTTCTAAGAATCATGTAAGCCTGCCTCACAGATTCTACGTACCGTGGAGACCAACAGCAATACCAACCCACAGAGGCGCAAAAATTAATGATAAATAAAAGTTCCATGTAGGGGCTTTAATCTGATTTAATCTACAATCTGAATAACATTAACTCACCTCCTGCAGGCCCCGCCTTTCAATCTCTGTCACACACTCTGTGATTAGCCGAGGGATTCTGGGATGAGTCACTGGAGCGAACCTTTCCAATGAATCCTGGAAACAATATCAAATCTGTCTTTTGTTGTTTTCTTTAGTATTTGATTCAGTTGGAGGTATAATCTGGAGTGTTGATCTGAAAGGTTTAATCTAGATATCTATTCTCCAGGTTCTAATCTAGAAATTGAATCTAAGGGATTCATCTGGGGGTTTACACTGACACACCTGGATGTTTTATCTAGAGGTTTAATCTGGAGCATTAAACTGGAGGTTTAATCTTAAAGTTTAATATTTCAAATTATTCTGGAGGTTTCATCTGGAACACATCATTGTAGAGTGTAAACATTGAGGTTAATTCTAGATTTGTATCTGGAGATTTATTCTGCAAGTTTAAATCTGGAGGTATAATCTCAAACTTTAATCAGCTAATCTGTGAAACTGTCACAGTAAAACTTCTATCCCTCTTTCCGGTTCATCTTGTCTGAAAGAGGCTGAAATCTGATTGGGTTAATCCAAACGTGGTAGAAATATAAAACGGACAAACCATCGGAGCTGAAGCTCCTGCAGCGGTGGCCGAGCAGCCATTAATGAATTTCTGTTTGCACTCTGGATGAGCGACCAGGCGACAGTTTCTGCACTTCACTGCCATCTTCCCAAAGCGAATCCTCTTACCACATGGTGAACAGGTCTCCGGTCGGATCACCTGCAGGCGGGAAGGTGAATTACAGCAACAGGTCAGGGTTGGTGACTCAGCGATGTTGATGTTCATCGTGCATCTTGGTGATTTTACCGTTTTAGAAAGAAAAATGTGTTTCTGGGTGTTCTCAGCTCTGTAGACGTGATCTTCAGTTTCAGGCTCTCTCTCTTCAGAGGGAAACCACACAGATGTTTGATCTGACAAATAATCAACACATCACAGTTTTTATTCATGGTTATTAATTATGGTTATAGTTTTTATTTGTCACTTCCAACTGGCCTCAGTAACAACAGGAACCTTCATCAAATGTCAGAAAAATAGAAATCCTAATAATGAGGTTTTATTTTGTAACTACTTCTTTGTGAATAGAAAAGTCTACAAACATGTTAGATTTATGTTCTTATGTTGTTCGACACACTCTGATGAAAACATGACACATTTTCAAACTAAAAACACTGGATGAGAAGTTCATTTGACTGATGTGAACATTAATAACAACACATATAAAACAATGATAAAAACATTCTGAACTCACCTCCTCCTACTGAATATTCCTGACTGTCGCTCTGTGTTGGACGTTCAGGAGTTTCCTGAGTGATTCCTACGACCACGTGAATCTGACCTTGAGTATCCGGAGTCGTCACTGACGCCTTCACGACAGTCTCGACCTCCTGAGTCACGAAAAAAAAATTCAGCTTCACAGTTTTAATGTCAACTTTTAAAATACAAACAACTGAACGGAAAATCTTCTCCACATGATCTGATTCAACATGAAGTTCTTAGTATTTTTATCTCAAGAGTTGTGACCTTCTGTTTTCTATGAATCATACTCTGTAATAAATATCTAAAAATACAACTGTTAGTTCTTTAATTTATTGATCACTGATTGATTATCACAACAACCATCAAGTAATTGTATTGTTCCATTCACCTTCTCTAAAGTTTTTCTCTCCAGCAGCTCTGAAGACATATTATTGCCTCTTCCTCGCTTAACAACAGGAACGCCGACACCTGGACCCATTGAGGAGCGCTGCAGAGAACCAAGAGAGCCTCAAGTGTCTGGCATCAGGGGGCGCCAGGGGACCCTGACCCAAACATGGTGAAAACATTCTCTTTTTTTTCTGACTCACTCTCTTTTCTCTGACTCGAGATCGCAGAGGTTTAATCACAGTCGAGTCCAAATCCTGGAAATGTTAAAACAAACTTTATTAACACATTCAATCAGGGTACAGATTTTTGACTGTTTATAATTGACATAAACAGAATTCATGAACAATTTATTCTTACATTAACTCATCTTAAAGGTTTTTGTGTTTTATAAGAAACACTT